CCATTACCCTCCTGCCTCACTCATTTTTCCTAGGATGTGTGATGCTTTCTTGTAGCCGAAGACTTCCTGCATTTAGCCTGTGCACTTTTCAGGGAGTAAGCCCCACTGAATAAAATGGGGCTCACTTGCAGGGAGAATTTCTTTGGATGGCTCATGTTAGCTGCTCTAGTGAAACGTCCATTATTGGGGAAGCTAGAAGGTTTGTATGTAGTGATCCATAGACGGGAAAGCACAGAAGTTGGCCACTGAAAGTATAGTTTAGAAGACAGGGATTTTTTTAAAAAAGCAAAATTCCGCTGTAATCCAAAAACAAAAAAAATGATGATTTAAAGGATCTGGCTGGTTATCTGCAACATTCATTTTGGAAGGTTGCTATTTTCATCTTTTTTAGGAGCTGTTCTAAATCCAAAGGAATTAAAACCAATGATATTGTAAAGGAGGTAAAACTTGATGAGAGGGAAAAGGCAGAATGAGTTAAAGAATGCTTACTATTTTGTATTCAGGTAGGTCGCCACGTTGGTCTGAAGCAACAGAACAAAGTTTGAGTCCAGTGGCACTTTTAAGACCAACAAAGTTTTATTCTGGGTATCAGCTTTCATGGGAATCTGAATCTGAAGGCGGCAAGGGTCATTTCCTGCCGGAACGCACCGAAACGGCGCTCCGGCAGTAAGGAGCCCGGGGTGCCACCTTTTTCCTGGCCCACCTACCCAGGCAGATTGGCCAGGGAAGGCCTGCAGAGGGCCCCCCCCCCACTTGGAGGGATTTAAAGGCCTTTCTTTCCCTTCCCCATCTGGAACATCTAAACATGCCTGGGTTCCCTGCCCGATCTTCTCCAGGTGCCCCGCAGCCGTGGGGTACCTGGAGAAGATCGGGCAGGGAACCCAGGCATGCTCGTATGCCTGCCCTTTGTCAGGGGGTGTGGCATATGCAAATGAGTTCCTGCACCTTTTTTTCTACAAAATGACCCCTGGAAGAAGGACACATACACACAAAAGGTCATGCACAAAATTAAATTTCATTAGTCGTAAAGGTGTCACTGGACTCAAACTTTGTTCTAATATTTTGTACATTTCCCAGGATTTCATTAATTTTGTTTGGTGGTGGTGGTGGAAAGTATCTCTGAGTCACAGCCGACTTACAGCAACCCTGTAGGCTTTTCAAGGCAAGAGACATTCAAGGTGGTTTTTGCCATTGCCTGCCTCTGCGTAGCAGTCCTGGTCCGACTTCCTCTCTCGTTCTCCGTCAGGTAGCTTTTGAGCTTCAAAACCGATTTGCTTTGCAATGTGGGAAAGTGGTGCTATCTGAGAATGGCACCTCCAAAGTAACTTTGGAACGGCCAGAGGCTGAAGCCGGTAGATTTGGATTTCAGAACCAGTCAACACGTTCTGTGGAGTGGGGGGGTTAGAAGTACGAGCTGTAAAATCTCAGAAAGGAGACATTTATTTAACACTCTCCTGATATAAAAAGCTCCCGGCATGTAGTAAACTATCGCCTTAGGGAGATGGCAAACATGCGAGTCTTTCTCCAAGGCGTTCTAATTTTGCACCATGCATGAAGTAGGGAGCGGGTTAACGCAGAGGAAACATTCGGAAACATAACCTCCTCCTCACCCTGCAATTCTGAAATCTAAAGTCAAAAACCCTACCACTTCCTTCTGCGTAAAGTACGGATAATATTTGAACCAAATTGCTTTGTAAAGGCATATTGTTCACTGAGCTCAACAAAGAGACCATTGAGAGGATTTTTATCCGTGGGGGAGAGATCGGCAAGATTGGAGTTCGCCTGTAACAAATGGGGGTCATTTGCCCGGTTGGTGGGCGGACGCTATCTCACTCAACCTGTTTTGAAAAGCTTCTGGCATCTGGGCCCATGTGGGAACTTGCGCTCCGTTAGCAAACTTAACTGCGCCCAGCCCCTGGTTTGGGGACCTGGATGTCAGCCTTCAGGTAGGGCCAGGAGATCTTCCGGAATTCCAGCTGATCCCCCAGATGACAGAGATCAGCTCCCCTGGAGAAAATGACTGCTTTGGAGGGTGGACTCTGTGGCATTAGACCTTGCTGAGGTCCAGTGTTCCCTCTAAGCTGGGTTAGTGTGAGCCAGCTCACAGTTTTTTAGCCTCCGGCTCACACATTTTTATCTTATCTCAGGAAGGAGGGCTCCAGAGCAAACGAACTGATGCAGCAGCCAAATCGCTCGCTCACAACTTTAACGCCAGTAGCTCACAAAGTAGAATATTTGCTTACCAGACTTCACAGTTTAGAGGGAGCATTGCTAAGGTCCCACCCCCCCAAGTTTGGTATAGTGGTTAAGTTTGCGGACTCTAACCTGGGAGAACCGGGTTTGATTCCCCACTCCTCCACTTGCACCTGGCTGGATGACCTTGGGCAAGCCGTGGTTCTGATAAGAGCTGTTCTTGAAAAAGAGCCGTTTCTGTCAGAGCTCTCTCAGCCCCACCTACCTCACAGGCAGTGTTCCCTCTAAACTGAGTTAGTGTGAGCTAGCTCTCAGTTTTTTAGCCTCCGGCTCACACATTTTTATCTTAGCTCAGGAAGGGATGGCTCCAGAACAAACTAATTTATGCAGTAGCCAAATCACTTGCTCACAACTGTAATGCCAGTAGCTCACAAAGTAGAATTTTTGCTCACAAGACTCCACAGCTTAGAGGGAACATTGCTCACAGGGTGTCTGTTGTGGGGAGGGGAAGGGAAAGGAGTTTGTAAGCCGCTCTGAGACTCCAAGTGAAGGGCGGGGTATAAATCCAATCTCTTCTTCTTCTCATCTCCCCAAAACCGTTCCTTCCCTTGTTCTATCTCTCAAATCTCCAGGAATCCCCCAACTCAGAGCTGGCAACCCTTATTTGGAGGACTCTGGAGGGAAAAAAACAGCCTTCTACCACAATGACAGTGAAAATAATTTGCTCGCTAGATTCCCTCTTATCTAGGGCTAGGGTTGAAAGAACTGTCCAGGGGGACAGTGTCCCTTTGTGGCACGGATCCGCTGGGGGTGAGTCTTTCAAAAGCAACTTGTGTGAGGCACCAGAAACATGAGAACAGGCTCCAGACTCTAAGGCTGCAGTCACACACACTAAATCATCCACTTTCAGTGCACTTTCCAAATGCATTCTGCGAATTCACACAGTAAAATGCAGTTGGAAAGGGCACTGAAAGTGAATTGAAAGTGGATTATTCAGTGTGCGTAACTGCAGCCTATGTGTGCCCAGCCCCTTTGAATCCTGACCCGGATGTTTCAGAAGTCGAGATCCCCCAACTGTTGAGCACAGCATCCACCCATGATATCCCTCTGTTTGAGTCAAATGAAATTACATGATTACATTGGGATCACCAACCTCCAGGGGGTGGCCGGAGATCTCCTGGGATTGCAGCTGATCTCCAGGGGACAGAGGCCACTTCACCTGGAGAAAATGGCCATTTTGGAAAGTGGGCTCTGTGGCATTATAGCCCATTAAGGTCCCTCCCCTTCCCAAACCCA